GACTTTTATTAAGTTTTGAAGGTCTCTCAATTATTACACAGAGAGAGAGAGAGAGAGCATTTTGGACGGTAAGCATTTGAAATCTAAAGGCCCATTTGGTTCGTAATTCAATTTCAATTTTAATTTTTGAGTTCATTTTGAATTTACTATTAAGAAGGTCCATTTATAAGATTGTTAAAAACGCATTTGATTTGTTATTTTGAAAAATTATTTTTCAAAACAGAAAATTAGAAAAAAAATTTGGTTTAAAATTTTGAAAAACTATTTTATGACATGTTATTCAATGAAATTTGATTATTCAATAAAAATAGAACTATTTTATGTCTGTTGTAATACATTTATATCACCACTTACAAATTAGTTTACATACACATAATGTAGTGAGATAAGATTGTGTCAAAATTTCTTCAATCAAATTAAAACTAAAAAATAAAAAAATCCCCACTCTCTTCTTGACATCTCATCTATTTGTACAACTTTTTATAACTCTTTATAATGTAAAAGTAGAATTATTCATTTTATGTTAATGTATAATTAAGTAATATTTACATTTTAAAGTTTGTGAATCTGACAATATTTTTTCTCGCTACAAAAGTAAAATAAAAAAATAATAATATATTGAGTTCAAAGAATAGGAAATAAAAACAAAAATTAAGAGGAAATAATTTTCAACGCGTCTATATTTTTGCTATAATCGTTAAAAAGTCTCAATATCAAAGAGTGCCTAATATTGGAATATACCTTACTGGACATGTATTTTCTCACGGGTAATTATATGTCTTACTTTTTTGCGGAATTTCAATGCAAAGAGCAAAAGTCTTTGCAAAAGAAAAAAATAAAAAGAAGAAAAACTTGCGAGATGTTGACAAAAAATAGAGAGGATTGTTACCAATCTTAAAGACCCAAATAATTAGGAGTTATTTGTCTTAATATATTTGTAACCTCAACACATGTCTCCCTTAAGAATTAGAAAGAAATCTATAACGCCCCCGGGGCACATCTTCAAGTGGTAAAAGGGGAAGGTGGAAAAACTCTAACTTTGTTTGAGACTGCCGCGTCAAGGATTCGAATCCTAAAATATGGATTTAGCCTTTGGGTAAGTGTAAGTGTACAAGCAATCTTACATCCTATACCATTGGAGGCATAACATGCGATTTACCTCATTCACCAAGATCCAGGGCAGGGCAGGGCAGGGCAGGTGAAAGCCGTCAATGATGCGGCTCGTCCTTTTTTTTTTTTAAGAAAGAAATCTGT